AACAGCGCGCTCCTGCATCTGAAGACATGCAGAATTGCGGTGCCAGATGCGGGATTCTTGCGCGGGCGGTGGGAGTTTGGGTTTTAGTGGGTAGCCCAACACGCTTCGGTGGGAGTCCCACACTCGGGGAAGGTAGTATAGAGACTAGCGCCCCCGGCCAGTGCATAAAGCATTTCCCTCTCCTACGAAAAAAAAAAAAAAATTATAATAATAACAGCATAAAATAGCAGGTTTGGTAGCTGGCGAGGCCTAGTCTTCAGTCAACTTTTGTGTGCGGCGGGTGGAAAGACCTATTTTCCGCTCCGCGCTGCGGACAGGCTGTTGATCAAGGTCGGTAAGGCCGGGTTTCCGATCCTTGTTCCCGAAGACATTACTTTGTATGTGTGGCAGGCGGAAAGCTCTGGTTTCCGCTCCGCGCTATGAACAAGCTGTTGCACATGGTCGGAAGGAACGAGTTTCCGATCCATGTTCCCGAAGTCATTACTTTGAATGAGTGGCAGGCGGAAAGCTCTAGTTTCCGCTCCGCACTGTGGACAAGCTGTTGATCATGGTCGGAAAGAACGAGTTTTCGATCCATGTTCCCGAAGTCATTACTTTGAATGTGTGGCAGGCGGAAAGCTCTAGTTTCCGCTCCGCGCTGTGGACAAGCTGTTGATCATGGTCGGAAAGGCCGAGTTTCCGATCCATGCTCGTATTGTCTTACGCGGTCGCGAAAATATACGAAGCCGATTACAGTTGTACTAAGCAGTCATAGATATTGTGTAATTTATCGTTCCCGGTTAAAGATATTAATTTATTTAGTTACAAAAAAGCGATTCACGTTTACGTTTACATCATAAACTGTACAGAAATACAGTTCACCAGCTGGACGATATGGTGCAATGTAAGGGTTTTCATATTATTTATTCAAAATCTCAAGTAAGGTTTTCTTAATGGTAAAATGTCAGTCGGAGGTGTCAAAATAGTCGTAATGCTTATTAAAGTCCTGGCATAGGCAACGAAAAGCATCATGCATTTCAAAATTTGTTCTACAAATAGTTAACTTAATGGGCTTGTAATGTCTAGAAGGCCTAGAAGGAATACAAAACGTGATCTGGTTCAGTAGAAAGGGAATATTGACCATCCCGTTCAAGATCTTAATCAATAACAAAACCCCGAGCATCTCTCTACGGCTGTGCAGCGTTGGCAGATTTATGAGCTTCAAGCGGCTTTTGTACGGTGGGAGATTTAATGTCGAATCCCAAGGCAAATTATTTAATGCGAATAATAGGAATTGTTTCTGTACCGACTCGAGTCTGTCAGAGTGCGTTTGATATATTGGGTTCCATACGAAGGACCCGTATTCTAGGATCGGCCTGACTAGGGAGGTGAAGAGAGCTTTAGTGACATAATGACGTTTGATGAAAGCCAAGACGCCCTTTGCTCTATTAACACAAGAGTTTACTTGGGACTTGAATTCAAGCTTAGAGTCCATGGCTACGCCTAGATCGATGAAATTAGTTACCTGATCAACACTATGTTCACAAATGCGGTAGGTATATGATTGAAAGGGTTTTCTAGAGAAACACATAAATTTACACTTTTGCAAGTTAAGTGACATAGAATTTACTTCGCACCATTTAAACACATTACTAAGGTCCACCTGTAATTGTTTCCTGTCTCCTGGGGCACCAATGAACTTAAATAACTTAACGTCGTCTGCGTACATTAAGCAATTCGAATACTAATATTCGAATATTTGGAAGGTCGTTGATGAATAAAATAAACAGAAGGGGACCAAGGTGGCTACCTTGAGGTACACCTGACGTCATATGAATTACACGAGATGAACATTTTTTAAAGATAACCCTCTGTTTCCTGCCAATGAAATAAGAAGAAAGCCAGCGCAGCAGGATGGAGGGAAACCAATTTTATCAAGTTTGTATATTAGAGTTGAATGAGATACTTTATCAAAAGCTTTGCTGAAATCAGTGTAAATGACGTCAGTTTGATAATTACTTTTGAAACCATTGTTCACATTTGTAGTGAATTCAAGAAGGTTTGATACAGTTGATTTACCTTTACAAAAGCCGTGTTGTGATCAGCGTTGCCATTTTAACCGTTTTCCGGCTAGATTTAGCCGGTTTTGATAGCAACTAGCCGGAGAAAATTCGATCTAGCCGGCAGCCGATTTGTTAGCCGGTTTGTAAAAAAAAGTTAGCCGTTTTTAGCCGATTTTCCTATTTGCCAAATTTTCATGTGCAAAAAGTAAACAAGTTGTTCGAAAGCAATAATGCAGACCCAATGAAGACTTTTAATGAACTCAATGTTTTACTTTCGCATCTATGCTCCCTAGTGGTTATTAGCGCGGACACATTTGATCCTATATGCTCCCCGTTGGAACCATACCTTGCTCCATTTCCTCAGTTTTATCACAGTTTTGAAGAGTATTTAAAAACAAAAGTAAGCACAAACGCTTTTGACCACGAAGGCGAGAAAATAATTCGAGAAAATGGTCGCTATTTTATTATCACTTTAATAAAAGAATTACGCCAACGCCTCCCTACAAATATTGCCACACTAAAAAAAATTGACTTTTTTCGGTTGGAAATGCATTAAGAGTAATTGACGAAAAATAACGGGTTAGGGGTAAACCCAAACAAAACAGAACTTGTACTATTCACGAGACGGTACAAAATCCCCCCATTGATAACACCAAGGCTGGCACAGACCACACAAAAATTAAGCGATTCTGCTAAATACCTGGGGATAGTCCTAGATAGAAAATTAAGCTGGACTCAAAACACCGAAGAGCGGGTGCGGAAGGCCACGGTTGCCCTATACAGCTACAGGAAAGCAATCGGCCAAAAATGGGGTTTAACCCCGAAGCTAGTGCACTGGATATACACCGCCGTGGTGAGGCTCATACTTCTGTACGGGGTAGTGGTATGGTGGCCAGTGCTGGAGAAGAAAGTAAACAGTAATAGATTACAAAAAGTGGAGAGAACGGCCCTGATCTGCATTAGTGGTGCCCTCCGCACAACACCTACTATGACATTGAATACGATCCTTAACATCATACCTATAGATATTATAGGACGACAATACGCTGCGTTTGCAGCCCTAAGACTACAGGGGCTTAAAAGCTGGAAAGCGGCTCGTTGTGGTCAGACTACAATTCTGAGAAACCGACAACTATCGAGCACAACGGACTATGGTGTACCAAGGCTCACCTTCACTAAAGGTTATAGCGTAACGCTACCTAGCAGAGAATCATGGCTCGAAAGAGTTCCGGGGTCTAGAGATGCCATAAGATTCTACACGGACGGCTCCAAACTAGAAATTAGGGTAGG